ATTTTCATAGACAAATTGTAGAGCAGATAAGTGGTTCTCAAAATTTTTTTTTTGGGGGGGGTTCGAGTCTAGAATTCGGCGAATGTGTATATGTGAGAAAGCTTTCCAGTAGCTTCTCGTGGGTCGGTGGTTCTTTCCGGTGATTTCCAGGTTTCTTCCTCCACTAATAATACTGGCTGCCATGTATAGCCTATCGTATGCTGAAAAATGACGTTAAGCCCCAAAACAAAAACAACAAGAACATTTTTTGCCTCGACCAGGAATGTATTTTTTTCTGAGCATCACGACTCGTTTTTCCACATTTTGATCAGTTTGCTAACCTCAAAAATCATCTTGACAACTCTCTGTGACTCTCTTGGAGGTCTTCGCGACAGATTTTGGGTCACGACACTGGGGTTGGGAATCACTAGTGTAGATTATCCCTTTATATTACAGAAACTGAATGTCGTATATTCTGTACTCGTTTTAACGATGATACACTCTTTATTAAAAGATGGTATTGTTTAACTGGGGTTACACACCTATGTTGTTTTTACTGTTTGGGTTCAACGTCATTTCTCAGCGCAAGATAGGTTGCACATGGCAGCCAGCATAAATAGCAGGAGAAGAATGCGGGAAAACTTTGGTAAGAACTACCGACCCACGGAAAGCGGCTGGCAGCTTTGTGACTGACCCACGCACGCTGGTCAAGCCCAAGACTCGAACCCATTCAGATAGAGACGAGATGACATTAATCAGTACAGGCGAGCCTAATTTAAACCACGTGGGCACCCTAAGCCCCAAATACACAATTATAATAATGAAGTCAATATTTAATGAATTTCATCCTCTTGACAAAAGCATGCCTAGATTCAAATAACATTCATGAATTATGCATATGTATATAGTTTCTAACACATGCAAAATATTATAAATGATTATATCTTCTAAATTAACCATATAACTATAGTTTTGTGCTTTATACTGTTTAACACGTCAGGTTGCATTAAAATGTATTATAATTCGCGTCTGTCTGTCATTTTTTTTCACACCTGCTATTGGTGGCGTATGCAATTTTGTTATGCATGGTTAGTAATTGTGTTTGCAATTGTCCTTTTTATCTATGTATGGGAGCCGGGGTGGTTTAGTGGTTTGCGTGCCGGACACACTACCAAATGGGTGTGGGTTCAAATCCTAAAATCGGACCATCCTGGGTCAACTACAGTGGTGTGTTACATTGCCTACGCAGTAAATTAAACTATTTGTATAGATGTGTCCTGACGCACCAAACCAAACCAAAATCGTTGTAATGTGTTATTGTCTTATGTCTTATATTATGTGAAATTCAATAAAATCAAAACAATCATCATTATTGTTGTCCATTGAAAATCTCACTCCATATCTTGGTGTGAAAATATTTGCATATATAAATATATATATATATATATATATATATATATATATATATATATATATATATATATATATATATATATATATTACAAAAGTTCACATGAAAAATATGGTATGGAACATTTTGTGCTCTACCAGGAAAAAGAAATCAAATGTAAGATATTTATGGTATTTGGGATCAGTTTGTGGTAAAATTGTTCCACTTTTAGTTTATTAATCCATAGACGGCATTCTGAATTAAAAAGAAAAATATACACCAACAGTTGCACACCTATAATAATTCATTTTAAAACGACTGTTCTCTGCCATTTGATGGAGATAAGTGTCAATACCCATTTTTTGGGTATTGACTTCTATCTCCATCATTTCTTACTAAATAATAATCTTGCAAACAAAATATATACACAAGGATAAAATGTAACCAATTTTATTCATGTTTTTAAAGCCACAACTGCATGTATATCAAGATGTGCTCTAAGATTGACATACTATGCGAGGGCCGTCTACTATTTCAGTGAAACATTACCAGTTTACTACGATACTAACAGTTGCCTCGCTAGGCGTTCAGCTTTAAGAGGGTAGTGTTAAGATCGGCCAGGTGTTAGGATAATGTGACTGGGTGGGACATGATGCTAGACATTACTATAAACTGCCACACTGCAGATATCGCAGCGATATGACTGGAAAATTGTCAAAGCTACGTTAAAAATCCAAATCTCTCTCTCTCACATACACACACACACACACACACACACACACACACACACACACACACAGATCAATCAAGGCTATTGCAAAAGCTTTAAGTGTAGGATTAAATGCATTATGAAATTGCACCAAGTTGACGAAGGGCAATAACGTGGTGAAAATGGTAAAATTTTTATAATCACAATCATCAAAAGACTTATGATGACTGATGGTAAATTTGATCATAAAGAAAATATAAAAGGCTGCAACAAAATTTTAAAATAATATTACAAATAATTTGAGGTTATAACTTTACAAAAACTTTGTCAAAATGCCTTGAGCGTCGAACGCATCTTGTACAATGCTCTGATAAATCAATGAAAAAATTTGTTTTACATGAAACATATGATATTAATACTATAATATTCATGCATGCATGATTAAGTGACAACATTCATAAGTGCTTTGTTCCGAGTGGGCGGAAATAACGAGTTTGAACATTTCAGGCCCAGAAGAATGTTCCTACGCCGTGTCAGTTCTTTCCGTAGACTCGGACACTTACATGGTTCTGTATTTATTATATATCCCATTTCTATTCACACATTCTTTGAAAAATTTTAACGTATACTTTAAAATAAAAACTGAATAAGGCATTGGTGTTTTATGAAAGATATTGTACAAGTCTATGAAAATTTGGCATGTACATAACAGGAGCTAGGCCTAGATGAATACTGTGCACTACGTCCCATTCAACATTTGTAAAACTTCAAAGCTAAGGAGTAAATCTGCAATGCAGACAGACTGATGACGCAATTGCATAGTATATATTTAGGCATAGCCCCGTTTATGTACATGGGACTTTTCTGAGCGTTGGAACAATTTTTTTTTAAATTTTTTTTGCGGTGTAGAAATATACGTATCGGTCTGACGGCCTCTATATATTCATATGCCGTATGAAACACATTCTCTCCTCCCACCAAGAACAATCAAAACGCACATTTAGTTTTGTCTATTTACTTTTTAGCTTCGATATTTTGAAACTGTTATATGGGATATGCTAATGAACTTAAACTTCAGTCACAGGCAAGTAGTATTTGTGATTACTTCTCGAATCCAATATAGGTTTTGAACAAGTACATCATCATTTATCCAGGCCTGGCGCTGGGGCAAGGCGAACGAGGCTACCACCTTGAGCCCCGAGCTTCTCCGCAATGCATTTTTTTTTTTTTTGCATGGGGCCTTGCGTCATCGTTTGCTTCATTGAGTCCCGCATGCTGCCTTGATTCCCGCACATCCAAGGGCCGGGCCTGCTACATTTTGAATAGATACTCTGCCTCCATGCAAATTTCACGGCGAATTTCAAAGACTATTAGTAATTAAATACATTTAGTTTTATACAGAAAGCTCATTAATTTACAATACTTTCGAAATCTAAATTGTTATATTTTCATTTAATTCAAGAACTTAGTGATGCATTGAACTAAAAATGATAACAAGAAACGGAAGATTAGGTCCCTTTCTAACATGCGGACTAGATTTTTAAAATTCTTTTGTTAATTTTGCAATAAGAAAATGCTGAATAATATTATTGTTTTCTTTTCTCTATTTTCCATCTGAACCGTCGCAAGATATTAAAAGTAAGCAAACATACACTTCCCTGAGTGTGCCCCAGTGATGAAAAGGTCGCAGCAAAATTGTAACAATATTTAAATCTTTTAAAGTTGCGTCACAATCAAATAAGCTGCTGCTCTCTGTAATACGTCTATCTTTATGTTGCTTTAGTTTGTTAGTTTTATCCTCAGATTTAATAAACAGTACTATTAAGAGACAACTTGAAAGTCCCTCCACTTAAACTTACTCTTTAAAAATATGATCCCTCTGACCATATGTAAAGACTGACGCTAAAATGGATTTTGGGTAAATTTGGCATCGTGAAATATCTTTTGGAATTAAAAATGGAATAAAGTTTTCTCCAAACATAGGGGCATTTCTAACCATTGCCTTGATTTTTGGCATGACTCCTTGAGTTTCTCTTACTTTGGCTTTTTCAAACTTTAAATACAAGATTTCAGCGGCAGAGTACAAAATTGTTAAAGCTACGTTAAAAATGTAATCCATCCCCGGCTAGTTGTGCGATATAGAAGCACAAGCTAAAATTTTGTACCAACCGCCAGGTCAGCCCTGTAAGATTAAATCAATACTTAATACTGTACGTACATAAAAGAGACTCAGCATGCATAACCGTTAGATATACAATGGGTAGTAGAGGGTGCTAATCAAGAAACTATAAAAACACTTATTTGAATGATTTCTCATGGCATGCTTCCTTAAAATTAAATAGAAATATGGATAATAAACTGTTTAAAAGTCTGTGCACTGATGGACCGAATTTTATTAATGTTTGCCACCACCACCCGGTCTGAGATAACATTATGCTTTCATCAAGAAGACTGTAGCCTGCAAGTTCAGCCAACAATTAAAGCGTTGCGTAAAATATGTGGTGATGACTTTAAGGTCGGAAGGTTAAAAATGTTGTAGAATTAATTTTTAGGGTCTTATAACGATTTATCTTTAGTATGAAGTACTCGTTCCAAGCAAAATCCATCAATGAAGAATAAAGAAAATTTATCGACAGATTTTGGGAAATAAAAATAAAATAACTTTGTTTACAACATTAATGTATTCGTTTTATGATTGTGACTTTGACCTAAATGTTAGGTGTAAAGTATCGCGGAATGAGTGTGTGATTTGGATTTTTAACGTAGCTTTCAAAATTTCAGTCATATCGCCGAGATGTCTGCAGTGTATTGCATTATGTCTCACCCAGTCACATTATTTTGACACAAGATTAACCAGTCCTAGCATTAACCTCTTAATGCTGAGTGCCAAGCGAGACAGTTGATAGTTTTAAGTCTTTGGTATGACTCGGCGGTTGTTCGAACCCACGACCTCCTGTATCCGAGGCAGACGTTCTAACCACTTGGCCACTGGAGCGGTCGTCATGGAATGAATTATTTAGCTGCATACTGATTCATTCAAAGGGTGACGTTGTTTAAGAAATATAACGAACTAATGAACTTCAACAATAACCTTCATGCGACTTTTCCACAACCCTTTACAAAGGTCTAATGGGCTTGCATGCATAAAACAGAATGGATTATCTTAAACTATGGATTCATCACATGTGTGGAGAAAATTCATAAAATTCATTAACAACCAAGTATGCTAAACATCTCCCCAAAGTTGCTTTATAAATGATAATTGTGTAATGTGTAACAAGTAATGATTAAAAATAAATCAATATCTCTTTTTAATTAGTATGTAACACCTGTAATTCACAGCTTTGGGTTTCAAATGACAATGCGTTTAGAAATTATTTTTGCTGCTGACCGCAAAAACGTGGTTTTTTTTTGTCTAGTCATAATAGAGCCCGATATTAATTACTTGGTCATTTCAGAAAAAATAGATTTTGTTCTGAAAACAATGATCATTTGGATAAATGGTATGCTTGTCATAACACGTGTCACATTAAAAAAAAACAAGTTTTTACACCGAACCCCTCCAACAACATTTTCAGCAATCCTAGCAACAACAAAATAAATTAAACTGATATATATATATATATATATATATATATATATATATATATATATATATATATATATATATATATATATTTCTTATTCACTAATTGTATACGAATAACTTATATTAACAGCAAACAGTCCTGCTTAGTGCTCATGTAAAATTATAGTCAGGGCAGTTTATATGGTCGATTATTATTAGGGGTAATTAAAAGGTAAGGAATTCAGAGATCAACCATATTACTACTTGTTTAACTGACTGACTTGGGTGGTGTTATGTTACACCCTTTTGACTTTCCATTATGTTAATTTGCATTGATACAGTACACTGATTGGAACAACCCAATTCATTTTAAGTTAGGAAACACTAACAGATTTACGTGCAAGAAAAAGAAAATTAATCATCATTGCCTTCAATGATAATGTTAAAGTTAATGCCTTCCTTAATAAAGATTGCTGAATAGTTTGTGATTAGCCGCATTGTTTCATTGAACTTGAATGATTATATATTTAAATTATTCTTTAGAATTACTGTGTCCTCATTGACTTTTTGGACTACAACACTACTTTGGGATTTTTGAAGACTCACTGAGAGACATTCAGGATTCTATCATAGTGATTCATCAAGACATTCAAGACTATTGGAATTGTTTGCAACATTCTATACTTTTGGACTTGTGATAATACATTTAGGATTATTTGGGATTTAATTCACAATACTATAAGTTCCTCTTAAATTTTCACTTTGTAACTTAGATAAATTAAATAACTGCCGTATTTGCTAGAATTGATGGTTTCGCTTACTTCATCATGTCATCAATCATAACAATATGAAGAAAACAAACAGTATGTATGGATTAGTTACAGGTCATGTTCATTGGTTCGTGTATAACCAACCTTTACTAAACAGATATAACTTCTTTGTTGACAGCAAACATAACAGACAAAAATCATGTAAATAATCCTTTGAAATTCAAAACCATTTTTACTAATATTTAATAATATATAAACATTACATCTCTATAAATTATAATTTAAAACAGCATAACTATCTTTCAACTATTAACTAGAAATAATTCATAATTGTCAGAAAAGATGAGCAATTATATTAAGTTTTAAAATTATTTCATGACCACAGGACAATATGCAATACTTACTGCTGTATTCATCATGTATACCAAATACTTTATATATTCACTCGCCTCCAAGTTAAGTCCTGTTACAAACAACACAGACCTAGATCTGACACTGCATAATGTTCGACCAGATACATTGTGTATTCTACTGATTAATGGGCTATATAGACCCAAATTTGCCAGTGTATTATACAATAACAGATCTGAATCTTGCAGTCTGCTGTTGGCTTTAACTTATATCTTACCTGTACAATATGTGCCCTACTGTAACCAGCTTATTCCCGTGTTTGACTCTGCACAATGCCATGTATTATTAATAAAATAAACAACACAGACCTTGATTTGATTACATATTATGGGAAAGTATATCTGAGTCTGTACTGCCTGTAATTGAAAGCAATGAGCTGAATCTCACTATATTGTACCTCAGTATAGCATGGTAGCTCATACAAAATAGATATTTTATAGTGTGAGAAATTGGGTTTTATTACTGACAATGTAGGCAGTCCAAAATGTCAACATCAGGAATATATTCATGGATTCCATTGTAATTAACCATGACCATAAAATGAGAGGGAACCACAGTTGCCCAGCTTGTAGAGTACTGAAATTTTAATACATGGGTAAATGGGTAAATATCATCAGCTTAAATTCTTTTAACAATTATAAATTTGAATACCTTGGATAAAATGTTTAGCTTGTGTGAGCCCTCCTGTTGCTATGTTTATTATTCTATTACATTTTAGAGCACTTTCTTAATTGTTTACAAGCTATTACACTATTTATAATGTTTGTAGAAGGTTACTCTACTACATCAAAGAGTCCATTCTGACTTGTATCCAAGATGACAAAGTGTTCATTACAATATTAATATAATTTGCTTGCAGCAGGTGAAAATATGCATGCAAGAAAATGCAAAACCACAAGATGTTATTAATATCAGTCAACTTTCAAATAATCTGAAAATGAACAAAATACCAATACAGAGATAAAGAGGAAAAAGAAGCATTAATGTTTCACTGTGCAATGCATGTCTAACTGTAAATAGAGCAAATCTCAAACTGTTATTGCATAAAATACCTATAAAGACCTACACTTCTGATTTAACTTGTTACTTTTGGAAATAACCTATCTGACATAATTTTGCAGACAGCAAAAGTAACTCAGTTGGTAGAATGTCATGATACACCAAGCTGTTGTTGTCAAATGCACAATAACAAAGGCTTTTGACTAATGTATGATAAACAAATATGTTCTCAAATACATGTTATGTCAAAATGTTGCTGTTAAATGCAGGCCTTGCTCAATGAAAGGCTGTCTATACAATCTGAGATCAAATGAAAGTCATTATCAAACATCTGCTTTGTCCAAAATGTTGCCAGTTCCAGATGTTTTTAGATGCATATCTGTTACAAAAACTGCAGGTCTTATTCAGATAGTTCTGGTTGTGTGATCTCATACCTTTAATTGTGCATACTCAGTTCTATTATCAATTGGAGTCCTTGTGAAAGAATTCAAAACCTTTTAAAAAGATTTTCTGTCAACTCAATCACAAGTTTCAGAAACAGCTGTCAAATGCATTGTAAATGAAAATGTACTATGAGATGATACCTAATTTGTGTAAAATTTCTTGTATTTGTTCTCTCTGATCATGTTGTGATATATAAGCCTGTCATACCACACAATGTGAATTCAATATCACAAATTCTGGGTCAACAGTTTGAATTCTGGACATCAATTTCTCCCAGAATAGGAAATTTGTTTAGCTGTCTTCCTTGTGATACTGAATACCAATGGACCTTACCCTGCACATTTTCATCTGTCTAAACCAAGAGATGAAATCAGTACATTTTGCACAAGTCTGATAAACAACACACAACACAAATCCTCATCTGTCATTGCATAAGGTCGGAAGATCAGGGTCTATATCATTTTGTTCAGATCTACTGATTAGCTCAAATAAACTGTATACACCCAGATATGCTAGAATATAATTGGATGGCATATGTGGATCCATGCTGGTCTTAGTTGCATTTGACTTATACACAGGTACATATAATAAGTATTATTTCATTCAAAAGTATGTACACTATATGGTAAAAAAGAATTAACCTATAGGACATTCTACTTGTTCTTCACATTAATGCTCATTGATGATTGGAAGAAAACTGGATCTTACAAAAATTTGCTCAAATCTTACTGACTATTTTGTCAAATCTCACAGTTTGGTACCCAGAGAGTCTCACAGGTATGAACAAAGTGGGGATATAAAGTCATTCAAACTTTCAAGGCTAAAAAATTAAATAAGCAATATGGTTTTCAAACTTGACACTATATTATTCATTAAATTCTAAACCATTAAACCAATTTTCAAAGTTAATTATACAATCAGGATATCAGCTGAAATTGAATTGTAATGGGGTTGCACCATGTTGCCTATTTTCTCTGATTCCTTTCATATCATTGTATTTACATAATGTATGTATATAACATTTACTGAGATGTATATTATTTAAAAGAATTAAAATATGTATTCATAAGAATTCATCATCTGTGCAATTGGTGAATTAATTTTTGTAGACAAAATTTATAGAAAATTTACTTTCCACAAATCAAAGTCTTGTTAATGCTTATGATTGATTAAAATAAAATTAAAGATTTAGAAATATGTAAATTCATTTACACATGAAAAATATACAAACACTAACAATTCTTTGTTTCTTTCATTTAGTTTTATTAGTCAGTGTGAGTAGTCTAAAATCTAAGACGTTGCACTGCATTTCACAAACCTGGTCAACAGACTAAAGAAGGACAGAACATGTTAATTGACATTGTTAACATGTCTCATCATATGCCTGTTATAGAATATGACAAACTTTGTTATTTAATGACTTAAGGTATCGTGAATGAAATTTATGGATAATGATTGTTCATTTATTACATCATGTTTTTTGTTTAACAAAACCATATATAATAATTTTATAACTGAACATGCAGCTAGCTTATACTTATATTATTAGTATGCACATGTGCTTGCTTTCTCTCCTGAATATGCATGCATGTGCACATACACACATACACACAGAACAGACATGGCTGTGCTATGCAGCAATAACATAAAGTACTGATAACAAATCAGAAATGTAATATCCCTATAAAAAAAAATGGAAAACCCAGTGTGAGAAAAATTGAGAAATGAAAGGCAAATTCTCCTTAAAAACAGTTGTGTACAAACTTTACAAATCATATAAATAAAGTTAATTTCTTCTATTGA